TTAAATAAAAATTATTGATTCGAATTATAAATTATCCAGAACTCTAACTTCACAAACTTATAGTTGAACTGAACGGCTCTATAAGACGAACCCAATAATACCAAAATTAATTAAATTCGGGTCGAATCAAATCAAGGTAAAGCCATTAAATAACTTTTGAAGGTTTTAGGTGACTAGTTTGAGGGTCAGATGGACTACAAATTTAATGTGTTTGTAGTCAAATTGAGTGGCTCGACAAGAGGAATCTAATGAGTTTAAGATCACCCACTTCCTAGGTCATTAAGGCAATCAAATTATCAAAAAAATTTATATGATCAAAGTGAGTCGATGCCGGTTTCGATCTGAGTTTTTGTGATGGTTATTCATAAAAAATAAAAATGCCACTCCTCCAGGAGCTATAAGTAGACTCAATCTCTTTACTTTGGAGGGGAAGGGGAAGAAGCATATTTTCAATGTTATTCTGGACTGAAGACCCAATGATAACTCACGATTTTCAAAGTAGTCGACTATCATCAAACACCGCTCATTGGCCACTGTCGATCGACGTTGATCGCCCTGTCACCATAGAAATTTACTTTATTATCGATGGTCAAATACCTTTGATAATAAAAGATAAAGCGTAGGTAATATATTTACTGACGGTTTAGCTACAACAAAGTTGACGTGGCAAAAACGCTTTTTGGTAATTAAATTACCAACGGATTTAACGACGGTTTAAATGACCAACGGTTAATCGACGCACCATAACCGTCGCTATAAACTCAAAAACATGCATGTTTATCCGTAGCTCATTAGTTGGTTATATAACCGACAAAAACGTCCGTAGGAAAACTGTTATAATTCCGTCGGAAAAGTGTCTAGGTTCTCTCCATAAACCGTCGCCAAAACTACGATTAATCATGGGAATTTATCGATGACTCTGTTCGTAGCAAAAATACAACACTTTGCCCAGACGTCACTTGCTCAATAGATCGTCGGAAAACCATCGCTTGTTCCATAAACAGCCGTAAAACTGTCGATAAGCCGTCGAAAACATGTTCATAAAAAATATATATATATAAAGTTCAATTTCAACGCTACAATCTACACACATGTAATCGTAACAATTCAATCAAAACACACCACAAAACGATAACTAAACTAATTAGCGCATGAATCATATACACAAATAAAAGAAAAACAATTGAATTAAAGCAAATGAAATGGTAGACATATATAGTTGAGCCATTAAAGAGCTTCAATCCTTCATGCATTTCAATATATATATATAGAAAAATAATTAATATTTTTTAATATTATGATGATACATTAAGTAGTGATCAAATCCTTTTCATGCCTTCTCCCTTAATTTGGTGGGTTGTAAGATGGTGGGAAGTAGCAGGAACCATAAGCTGCAAGCAATTTAGAATATTTTAATATATTATAATATGATTCCATAATTAAAATAAATAAATGAATCTACAATAGATTTAAAAAATGGGCATTTACATAAATACCACCCAATTTTTATGTATTTACATATTTATATCTAATTTTTAAAATTTAAAAGATACATTTTTAGGCATATATATATATAACTAATTAATAAATATTATTAATTGCAATTTTACGTTTGTACCACACATATCATATGTATTTACAAATCTAGCACCTAAACATCAAATCTTACGTACATGACACCCTACATATACCTTAAAACACGTATTTCTCTTTAAAAAAAAATTAAAAAAAATCGTATTTTTATGTGATATAAAAGATTTATAATTCAGATATGAGACATGTAAATATATAGGAAATAGGGGCTATATATGTAAATATCTAATAAAATTATACTCACAAGGATCAATTGTAGTAAGCATGGCATCACCACCAAAATTGCACGTGTGGAGATTGCTGGAGCGGGGCTGAAAATACAAATTAAATACCACCGAAGCATGATTAACGACCGTATTAGGATTATAACAGACCCCACCAGGTTTAATGGAACTGCAATTAACTACATTGCATAGGACTTTTATGGTATCCAGTAGATATTCAGGCTTAGCTTTAGGGTTTGCAATGCACCATATATTGCCCTGAAAAATTAAATCAAATATAAATTTTTAATTAGAATAATTTATTTATAATTAGAATTTAATTATGTAATTAAGCAGAGCTAAGTCGAATTGATTACCCCCTTGAGGTCTTTGCTTGTAGCACTTGACTCTGCATGCAAAAAGAAATTAAAAATAGGTTTAATGCGCAATAAATAATCATCCATTAATCTTGAAAACTTAAAAATTGTTAATTGAATATTAGAAAAAAATAATTAGGAAAATTTACATGTATACCTCGAACAATTCTGTATTTATATATCTAGCATTAGACTTTTAACTCTTTTTTTGTACAAGTCATTTTATATATGCATGTATGTCGCTCGCCGTGACTCTTTGGTTGTCATCTGTGAAGTCAGTTCTAAGTCCCATGGAGTCACGGGTTGGAGCCCGAATGAGTGCATCTAACTTGCAGCGCGGGATTGAGTGGTTAAACACATGAGGGTGGCTGGGAGTTTGTATCATAGACTCCAACCGTTCTTTAATATGTATATGTGTTAGTGTGTTTAGTAGTTAGTTCCATAATTGACTTTCGCGGGTAAAATCAATTATAATTTGACACCGATGATTTAACCTAAGGCGCAAATAGTATGAATATACTTGGATTTATATATTTTAATAATAATTAGAATAATTCATTAGGCAATATTAAAATTGTGGTTGGTGAAAACTTAATAATAATTAAGAGCTTAAATATACAAATCTAACTGTTTTTATGCTATTTTCTTCATGCTTGTACTTTTAATAACATAAATATAGAAATCTAAGATAGAAGTAGAGTTCTCTTATGGGCTCAATAAGTAAACAAGAAAAAGATTAAGGATCTCTTTGCAGCAGTTATAGCTTATTAAAAAATAGTTTAAAAACTGTTGAAAAATAATCAGATGTTCAAAAAGTTGTTGTTGCTATTATATATATATATATTGGGAATGTTAGACCGATGCCACCGCACCTATCCAATACCAGTGAGAAAACACAGATTTCAGCGGCAGTTTTTTAAAAAAGCTGCAGAATATAGTTTATCCAAATAGACAAAACTACGGTGTGGTGCCGCCGCCTCACCGTCGCCCCAATCAGATTATAAATCCACAAATTCAACTATTTACAAGATCAACCCTTCGGGCATACCTATGCTTGGAATGAGGGAGAAGATGCATGAAAAAGTGATTGCAATGCAAAAACGGGAGAAGAAATTTGTTGCCATTTCAACCCCCTCTTCTGTTGCTGCTGCTGCTCGCGTTCAAAAAGTGAAGGAAAATATGGCCATATTTATAGGGAGATTTGGCCAGCAAAAAGGTAATAGTTAGAGTGTAAGAAAAAATTATGTTGAGCTTAATATAGAAAATAATTGAGTACCTAAATATAAATTTTGCTAAAAATAGGAAATAGTTATTGCATGTAGTTATGGATTTAGCTATATATGAGTGTGGTTGCAATATAGCAAACGAATGGAGTTCTAGTAGCTATGTAGAGAGATTAAGATGTTAATTACTAAAGACTTCAATTCTCTTCATCTTAATATAGAAATTAAATTTTCACTAAATTATGAATTATGTAATAAATAAGAAATAATCAATACATTGTCATTAGTACTACATGAACATTATATATATATATATAAGGAAATCGGTATTTGGCAGATGCTCAAATACTGATTTCCCATGTGCTAGGCCCCAAGATGAGAACTCGCGCCATGTGCCTTTGAGAAACTAGCACCCTTGTGGATCGAACCCGTGACCTGAGGTGACTTACATTGAACCCCATCAGCCAACAGGCCACGGTTTTTGTGATTTATGCTAGGACTGTTATAAAGTAGTTCTCTTATTCATAAAGAAGATATTATATTGATGATATTACTTTTTTACCCCCATGTGGAAGTAGGTCTGAACTCGCTCATTCAAAATGTCTCCAACAAGAACCTTTCTTTCTCAATGGTTTGTTACTCTGTGCGCCCTTGCTCCACAAGCTCCCTTCAACTTCCAGCTTTGATAAAAAAGAGCCGAACACGAACGAACAAATCTTTATTCCTATTCAGCTCATCTGTATAGCAAGCGTAAAAAAAAAATTATTCATGTTGTTTAGTGAACGAATCGAACATGAGCTATTCACGAAAAAAGAGCCTTTTTTTGGCAGTGAACGAATCGAACAAAAATTAGAGTGTATAAAAGAAAAAGAGTTCATGTGTTAGACATGTAAATACAAAATAATTCGGTGGTATGTATGTAATTCCCCCTAATGCTAAATGGGTTAAATTAGCATTCAAAGCTTAGCCACATGTAATATTCCTTGCTTCCATGGGCTGATTTGACATTTTGGCTGCTTGTGCGGCTTTCTCAATGGGTTATTAGGGCTTTCCAAGTAGGTTGTTAGAAGAATCAAATTTATGCTTGGTCATCATGAGAATCTGTTTGGGATAGCTTAAACGTACTTGATCTGTTTGAGTAAATTATATTTGACAGCTTATGCATTATCAAAACTCTGAAATCAGTGTTTTCACACTACACCTATCTAGGTGCGGTGACAACTTTTTGACAGCGATCTGACTTTTTAAAAAAAAATAATAAAAATTTGTAATAGCTACCGCACATAGCTTATCAACAGATTATTTTTAATCAACTTATCAGCAAATTATCCAATAAATATCAAAATAAATAGAATGAAAATTGTCATTTTATTTTTAACTAATGTACTACATATTCTAGCATTGAAGAATGAAAATTTGATATAATTTTTTTGAAAACTAAATACATGTATACAAGAAACAGTTCCTAAAAAAAATTCACGCCGCAATTTCAAAACTATTTTTACATACGGCTTACAGGTTCGTTTGAGGCGGCTGCACCTGTTTAAAGAAACAACTGTAAAATTACTGCAGAAAAAAAATATTTTTTAAAAAACTAGAGTGACTATTACAAAATTACTTTATTTTCAAAAAAATTAGATCACATCTTTCTGACAGCCTCCACAAAAGCATCAAGAAAACAGTTCCCAAATAGAATTGTGATAGCAGTCTGAAAATCAAAACAGACAGAAAACTATCACAAACAGCCCCTAACTCTTCCCCCAAACAGACCCTCCATCACCCTTGAGCATTATAGGATGAAGTAGCATTATTGCTCGCATAATTCACCCCCGAACTCAAGTTGACAAATCTCCTCATCTCCGCCACATTCTGGTTGCCGCCGCCGCCTTCTTCGTCTTCCCTTAACCCTAAAAAATCCCTCGTCATCCCTCCGCCCCCATACTCCAAACTCCCACCTTTCATAGACCTCATCAACCCACTAAATAACGTCGAAGACGACGATGAGGACGTCAGCGCCCCCATCTCTGCCGCCCGCCTTCTGCACCACCGCCGTCGCCGAGATCCCCGCCCCCGCCACAGCCCCCGCCGACGGCGGTGGCTGGGACTCCCGGTTCACCCAAAGATTCAAAGCCGCCTTCTCATCCGAGCCGTTGCTCACCGAATCCGCGGCGGGAGCAGCCGCTTCCTGCATAAGCGCGTCGCAAAAAGCGCGGTGCGTAACGAAACTATCCTTGCGAGAAAACAATGTTCCGCAGTCACAACGGTACTCTCGTGTTCCGCAGGTCTTGGAATGGGCTTTATAGTCAGAGTTAACGGCGTAACGTTTACCGCAGCGGTCGCATTTCCACTTCTTCTCGCCGTGCTTCCGGCTGAAGTGTTTTTTAATACCGGTGAGGTCACCGAGGGCACGGGCCGGGTCGTGGTGGACGCAATTGGGTTCGGGGCAGACGTATACTCGTTTACGGGCAGGTGACCCGCCCGGTTGACGTTGACGGAGTTTCCACGGTAAGTTGTGCCCGCGGCGGTGGAGTTGGAGGTTCTGGTCGCGTTGGAAGCCTTTGTTGCAGATCTCGCATACGAAGCGATTTGTCGCCATTAGCGTTTTTGGTGACAGGGCTATCACCTCCGCGTCCGGATCTGTGAAAATTCAAATTTAGTTAATTTTTATAAATGTAAAATTATTAATTGTTGAATTTATTTTATGATGAATTATTTTATAGAATATCAATGAAATTCTGTATTTTATTTAATTTAAAATAATTTCAATGGTTATATAATTTAGGGTCTATTCGGGGCAGCTACAGCTTGTTTTCATCAATTTTTTGATGTCATA